GAAGAATGGGATGCTCTAGTAAATTTGATAGTGAATGCTGGGCATTACGTCTTGAGATTACCAAAAATTATTTGACCGCTAAATCTCCTCGATTTACTCGATGCATGGTGGTTGTTTACATACATCACTTTAGCTGTGCACTTCACTGCGCTTATCAAACAGTGAGATACAGCCAAGATGGGCAACGGACAGTAATGCATTTAACGAAGCAGCTATAGTTAAGCGGTGAAACCCAAAGCTTCACCGATTGTCAATTCCTATCAAAGGCTTCCGCGTCATGCGCGCGGTAGCGGGCGGAGCTAAACTGGTATCCTTCTATTTTATAAAGCGCTAACTTTGTGTGTCGGTTTGTGTATCTGTATGTGTGTGTGTGTGTGTGTGTGTATGTGTGTCCGTCCGCAAAATGAAGTGAGTGAGAAGGAAGCTCATGGGATAAACAAACCGCTAACAAATCGGGTAGCTTACAGGATTTGAGATATCAATGTTTTGTAGCAGGATAGTTGTGATAACACTCTCAGGGCTATATAAACACCTGCTTAGCACACTTCCGTTCATTCCACATGGTGCTGCAGTGGCAGCTGGAGGGCAGTGGAGAGAGGAAGGGAGGATGAGGAAGGGAAGCGAAAAATCTACCGTCATATCATGATTGTGTCCCTTCTACTGTATGAAACACCATTGTGTTGCATACGCGTCACTTCCAGGAGGTGTTGGTGTCACAGGAGGAAGGGACCATAGCGGAGGATAGAAAGCTTGCGCAGGAAAGGAAGGTCCCGGCGGTTGACGGGGGACTAATCTGGTATATTATATATATATATATATATATATATATATATATATATATATATATATATATATATATATATATATATATATATATATATATATATATATATATATATATATATATATATATATATATATATATATATATATATATATATATATATATATATATATATATATATATATATATATATATATATATATATATAGTAGGATAATCGACGGCGAAAATCGACCGAACTTTACCGGAGAACCCAGCAGTGCAAGGGTGTTGGCAGCAATGGCGGCCTTTATTATGCTAGTCTGCATTCCCGGATAGATCATCAATAGAGCAACGCAATCACATTAGCTTTCTTATCAATTGTTTGTTTTTTGAACAATTTATACTTTCCTCACTCATTTGGGATTCTTGAATATTTACTAAAGTTACCTCTATGATACCTATGATCCATGAGTCGCACGATTGAACGAAGAGCTTCTTGACGGATCATAGGACTGGAGGATTCTTTCCAGAAAAAATAGCCACTATTCATCGAACAACCTAATAATAGAACGATGAATTTGCTTACTCAATTACTTTTGCAATGGCAATATAACTACAGCTGACCCAAACCCAAGCCAGCACGTGCATGTCAGCTGCAACTGCCTCAGACATTATTTTAGCGCGTTTCTCAGGGACGTTTGATCGGCAACTTTATTGTCTGGAGGAGTTGAAATCCAATTTCTATCATCTTAGAGGGGCTTATATATGGTTGAGAAATTGCTCATAAAATGCTTGAAACAAAATATAGAAGCAGAGAAGACAAAGCATAACTCATCGTGTTGTTTCTTCGATCTTTAATATAATGACTCATGAGGAATTGGGAGGTGATGATTAATCTCTGGAAATTTTCTGGAATTCTTAATAAATGTCAGTCTACCCTATACCCTATCTCGAATGGTGATTACACTCCCACCCGGAAAAAGAGACTATTTGACTTTTTTTTGATGAGAACGCTCTTAGAATGTCAGTATTAAGCTTTCCGTCCAGCGTGAAGTGCAGCTTTGGAGTCGTCAAGAGATAACCGTTTCTTTTGAAAATGCAATACCCATTTCTTTCGTGATGTTTCATGAGCGTGGATCCTAGAGTCATGGCACTTAGTTCGAGACGAGGAATGGTGATTGCGTTGTGAAGTGGAGCTAATCTCGTTTGGCCCATTAGTAACTGACATCGATGTGTCCGCCCATTTTTGTTCCGCATTATATGCGACTCGCACAGTATGCCGTTTGCGAACGTGACAGATTGCGTTGACGAACTGATTTTGTGGCCCTGAGAAGAGTTTCCTCGGCATTTCGATGGATTGGACTGTCCAGGAGTCTATGATGCTGTTCCACTGCTGCTGACTGCGAGGAGGCAATAGTTCGTCCCATTGAAGATCAGCTTTCCACAAACTTTGAAGGAACATTTTTGCCTGTGCACTGTAACGGGCGAGATAAGTCTTAACGGATCGAATAATGATGCTACAGTCTTCAAAACGTTTCTTTTTGCTACTGTGAAGGTTTGTCGAGAACTGCTGGCATGCAGATCGTCAATGTGTCATTTGTCGTGTTCCATGGAATACCCAGTAGCTTCACAGTCATGTCCATGTTACAGCTCTCATTTTGTTCGATTGTAATACTCACGTGCTTATTTGAAGTTGCCCATTCTCTGACATTCATTCCTGCCGATTGGAATAGTTTCTTGGTGTGGAAGTACTTTTCGTTTGCTTGTTCCTCGGTTTCGGCGGACAGGAAGATGTTATCAACGTAGCAAGACGTGAGGATCTCGTGTGCAAGTGGAGTTGCTGCTCTTTTGAGATGAAGGTGTATGGTTGCTGCCAATAGAAATGGACTGCAGATTAATCCGAATGGTATTCGCATGAAGCAGTAGATGACTAGGTTGTCCTGTGATGGCGGTTTTTGATAGTCTTTCAGCCAGAGAAATTTGGTAATGGTCGATCACAGTTCTCTAAGCCGACCATGTGGTAAGCTTTCTCGATATCTCCGCTGAGAAGATGGACCGAGGCGTATCCCAGCATATTTCGCCTCAGATCCTGGTAGCAAGTATTGGGTCCCGCGAAATAACAACGATCGTTTAACTGGGCATCCATTGACTTTTGCACTACCATTGTAGACCAGTCGTATTTTAGTCGTCTTCTTCGATTGCTGAATAACTGCATGATGTGATAAAAATGTACCTGGTGAGTCGGTTTCCGAGAGAGGAACTTCTTTGATGATGCTTCGTTGAATTTGGTCTTGAATTATGGCGTGGTATTTTCGTAAGTGTTCGGGATCCTTTGAGAGTGTTTTCCAATTTGATCGTAAGCAGGAGAGGCTGTATTGGAAATTCTCTGGTACCTCTGGTGGTTCACTTTTGAAAGGGAGTCGTGTATAGTAACGGCATTCGTCCTCATCATAACGAGTGGTGTTATTAAAGAAGTCGAGGCAGATAACGTCATCTTTTGAGCTAGCTTCGTTAGGAGTTCCAAGAGACTCACAAGTCCAAAAGCGTTCAACCATTTTGTCGAGTGCGTCTTTGTTGAATGGATGATCAGGATCGTCGCGAACTGCTATGTTGATTGTGCGAGTGGACATTTTCTTGCCACTGATCATCTGTTCCAGTCGCGTGTTGAGTAAGTGAAATCCACTCGGGAGGGGCACAGAGTAGAATTGCGGTGAAAGAACTAATTGCCAGAAATGATCCATTCCAATGAGAATACCTGTGTGGACTGGTTGCGTAGATAGTGGTATGTTGTCGGAGAGTTTCGCGTAGTGCGGTTTGAAGATCGCATGGGGCCATCAATGGTTTGGTGAGGTGTGGTAGCGATTGAACGTCCAATGAGTAAGGAGTCGCATCAGGAAGCAGCATGTTGACTTTATGAAGGCTCGATGAGACGGACAGTGGCTCTCTTGATCCAAACGTGTGGAGTGTTATTTCGTTACCGACACTGCGAAGTTGAAGATATTCAGCCACGTCTGAAGTGATGTATGAGTGTGATGATCCGCTATCAAGGAATGCCGTGGTGATTAGTTGCTTCGTCATATCGCCGGGATTCGCGACGGTGACTTTTGCACACATCAGGAGTATTTGTTCAGTTCCTTGTTCGTCATCGCTGTCCTGGTTGTTACTCTTTGTTGATGTGGAGTGAATCACCGCTGCGTACGATGAGCTTGGTTCGGCATTCGTGTGATCGGCGATTGTGCGACTGATGTCGTTGTCGTCCTTCTGATAGTTTGTTGATGTCCACGGAGAAATTAATCGTTCTCGTGTTGTTTGTTGACGTAGATTGTAGTGGTTGTCTCGAGAGGCGAGCGTTTTTGTTGTCCCATTGCCAGTATCTTTTTCGATCGTCTTGAGTTTTGCTGGAAGAAACTACATTCTGACGGAAGTTGGATTCGTTTGTCTTTGTCGCCTGCGAAGTTCTCCGAAGATCCTTCGTTTTGAAGCATAGTGCTGGGTGATGGTGGTAATTGCATAAGTAGCAGGCTGGGCGAGTGCAGGAGGTTGTGCGGTGATCCGGTCGGAGACATTTGAAACATAATTTATTTTTTCGGGTGGCAGTTCGTCTTTCTTATGCGGTCGAGAAAATCCGGCATTGATAGGCATTGTGATTGGTCCGTTTGCAAAAAGGGCACTGTGTTGGATTGCGTTCGGCTCGCTGGTGGCAGAGTTGTCGTGTTTTTCCGTGGAGAGAGTTGTTCTTGTTTCTTCCAGACGTGGTAGTAATGAGTGACTGGAATTTGTTGAGATTTCAACTTGGCGTAAAGTCGATTACTTTTTTGACGATTTCGGATAGGAGTTCCATCAATTCGTTTGGAGTTAGGTTCCTCTGACCTCCGGTTTTATCGTAGATGCGGGCTTTGACGAATTTAGGTAGCTTGTTGTAGAGGAGAGCACCCAGTCCATATTCTGGCGATCCTGGTGTGATTGAGGTGTATTGGCGGACGAGGCGCAACATCTTGAGGTAGATGTCTTGGAGTTGTTTTCCTTCGGCATCGCACTGTGGAAGATTTGAAAGTTGCGTGTAGATGAGATGGCGCATTGCGCACGGGTTGTCGTACGTCATATGGAGAATGTCGACAGCAGTGATGTAGTCTCCATCGGTAATTGGTAAACCTTCCACGCATTGCAGTGCTCGTCCTTTCAAACAACTTTTTAGAAGCGAGAATTTCGTTGCGCCAGATAATGACGTCTTCGAGTGCACGAGTGTGTTGTAGCGAGACCAAAATTCTGGGAATTCGATCAGATTTCCAGAAAATGACGGAAGATCTAGTCGTGATAGTAGTGACGCATCGAAGTAGTTGAATTGGCTGTTCTCGTGGCGATCAAGCTGGGAGGTGGCATATGGAGAGTTGGCATGAAGTTGATTAGCGTATAATGACCTGCTGTTGTAATTGTCGCCTTGCTGGACGTTGTTGATTTGTGGTTGCTGCGAAGAGAGTTGTTTAGGCTCGCAATCAATTCCTTGATGTGCCAAATGTTCAGCGATGAGTATTTCGTGCATGTCGATTCGTTCGAGAATTTCGATGGCTTTGGTAATATCCGATCTGTAGTCGCCGTATTTTGCGATGTATTCGTTGAAAACTGCTACCTCATCGTTGTCCGCAGCCATAAGATTGGACCATTCATCGTTGAGTTTCTGCAGCTTGTCGAGCTTCGCGATAATCGACTCTTGATGGTTGTGCTGGATTTCGATGTAGTCGAGAAGGGCGTCGTTGTTGCTTGAGCTGATGAATTGGTGAGCGTCATCTTGGAGATCAGCTTCGACAGAGTTCAACGGCGTATGTGAGCTGCTTCCGTACTGCTCCAATCTGTCTTCGTAGTTGAGCACTCATTTGTTTCCAGCGAGTTTACAAGGTCGTTTGACGTGACGCTTATTGTGATGAGATGGTGGCGAACGTCGCTGGCGTCGTTGTGGCAGGCCGCTTCGTCGATGTCAGACGTCGTTGTTTGTTGAACTGCAGAGAGAGATGCGAGAGATCGGTGCGTTGACGATATCGTTGATGGTAATTGTAGAGGTCGGGGAGGTGGGAGGTGGGTTTGGGATGGAAGGAGATGGAGCAGGAAGAGATCTTGAAAGGGTTGATGGTCAATTGGTTGCAGGGTTGGGGAGGGCAGGTGTAAGGGGACTGGAGTGAGGGGAGGAATTCGTCGATCTTCGCTGAAGTTCTCGGTGGCTTATTGAAGATGGCAGTTCCTGGTTGCCGTGGTCGCCATGTTGTGTGTGAAGACGTTTGATCGGCAACTTTATTGTCTGGAGGAGTTGAAATCCAATTTCTATCATCTTAGAGGGGCTTATATATGGTTGGAGAAATTGCTCATAAAATGCTTGAAACAAAATATAGAAGCAGAGAAGACAAAGCATAACTCATCGTGTTGTTTCTTCGATCTTTAATATAATGACTCATGAGGAATTGGGAGGTGATGATTAATCTCTGGAAATTTTCTGGAATTCTTAATAAATGTCAGTCTACCCTATACCCTATCTCGACTGGTGATTACAGACTGCATTACGCTAGACTGAGCTAGTGAGGAGGATGGATTCCTTACTCCTTGATTCTTTATTTTTGCCCTCTACAATGTTCCTTCGAAGTTTAATTCACAACTTAGTCGATCAGCTCTAATTTCGTTCAAGCTCTATGTTTTTGGGATCCATTGTCTGGAAGGGGACATTTTATCCTGAAAAAAGGAAGCATGTCCAGAACGGCAACGTCTATCAATTCTTCCAGACAGACCGATATATGTATTTGTATGCCAGTACGTGTGAAAAATCTGCTGTACCTTTCAACTAAAACAAGGCGCTCAAGGAAGGCAAACATTTCCAAACTAATCCTTGCCATCGTTGTGATAGCCAGAGCTTCATTTCTATGTGTCGTGACTTCCGTACGACTTACTTTAGAGGGTCGCGCCTGGTAGGGTCCGCGCGGATCCTGGCGCGCCCGTGCCATTGAAGATTCGAGCGCCGGAGAAGCAGAGTGCCGGCGCCCTCGCCTGCTGTTCAGTCTACACATCGTCGCCGCCTTGAGAGGTCGTCGCTAATCCTTCGTCGCCACTCCCGCAGTCCGTTCGCCGTACGTATCGAAGAACTAAAACGCGCTACCGGGCATGGAAGCCCGAGGGTGGATAGCGGGCCATAGCCACGTCACCCACCGTAAGAGGAGCGCCTGGATTCGTCCCGTGAGTCGTAGGTGGTGCTGATTCCGTTTCGTAGAAGATTTCTTGTTTATTTATTCATTGTTTCTATTCCGTGATTACCCATTACATGAATCTATGGCTATATCTTTTGCCTCTACGCGGGTAGACCCCGATGTTTTCGAGCATATGCGAGTGGCAAGGCGTTGTCGCCGGCGTGAAACTATCCATTTGACACCTCGACGGCCGTGACGTAATGCCACATTACACAAAATAGACTAGTTTTTAGGTTTATTTGACGTTTTTTCGTGTTTTAAAATGGTACTTTTACGTTATTCAATCCGAAAAACAGGTTGCTTATCAATAGTACTGAAATCATTGGGACCAGTGATTATTGATGAGAAACATGAAACATGTTCTCGCAATAGCCGAGCAACGGCGGTCATCAATTGCTCAAATAATTTTTTTGGTTTCTATATGTTAACTGCCTGAGGGCTCAAATAAACATGACGGAATCTGAAATTCTTTCCTGAACGAACAACTTTTTCAGCGGCCTAAACAGTTACGGCTGCTACCCTCCATCCCCTTAACTCATGCAGACATACTTGACTTACTCTATTTTGTTGAAGGCGGATTTTACGACGAAAAGGTAGCTCATTGGAAGTAAGGGTAGAGGTGGTTAGTAGAGTAGTGATGAAGAAAAAACCATGAGCCCGAGAAATGGGATCTTTTCTTGCCCGGAGATTGTATTGATGCGACTCTCATCGTTGTGTCCTCTTCAACGCTGGTGTTCTCTTTGCTATCTGATCACCTCACCGTGTATAAACCGTATAAAGCTGTGGCGAGTGATTAGAAGTCGGTGGGCGTTTCGAGCCAATAGAGCCGCTGGAAAGGCTATGCTTCATATTGAATGCCGAACAAGCAGTTCACAACAGATATGGCCGCAACAAACGGTCTGCCAGGTCGAACAAGAAATAGTGACAATCAATATTTGAACGACAGGGAACAAAAAACGATGCATCACTCAAAAAAGGAATTGCTCCCGACTGTAAGAGAATCAACGTGAACGATGAGTGGGAGTCGGACAAGGCAACTGAGCTCACAAAGTGCTCCTGTCCTTGTCAATGAATGGCACTAGGGGAATGTTGGAATATTTCCACACAGGAATCTGGACGAAGACACGCTCTTGCCACCAAGGATCACTGCGATTTTCCACTCAGGCCCCTTACGACTACTGCTACGAAAGCTGGACTTCGGCCACATAGTCCAACGGAACCGGGCGCTAGAGTGGGGAACCGGAATCCCCACACTGCGGAACAGATTGAACCTAATGGTGGGACCATCACCTAACGTGGATTATGCACAAAGCACCTTTGACATTCTTTGATCAACCCATTAACATCTTGTACCATTCCTGGCCTGTAGACTTCTCTGTTCAACTTTTCTAGAAGTTTTAGGCACGAAAATGGTCCAAAAATAATCCATTAAGCGTTTCGTGGAACACTTCATACCTATGCGCTCTGGGAATCATGTTGACCAGTCTACCCTCGTCTCGGTACAGTTTTAGCTCTCCTTTTCCCGAAACAAAGTCGGCTATAAAAAGCGTCTGGCCCTGCATATGTGGGCACTCCCCTACTGGGTTTCGGCGGTTACGCTTTTCCCTTGACATGCTGAGTTTCCATCCTGTACCTTATTTAAGTATTACTCCGTCCAAACAACGCTGTTAGAGGCTGGTGATAAGAATGGTGGGAGGGCTTTTGATAAACATTTGGGATCTCTTAATGGCAAACACAATCGCCTCCAGATCCGTTATGCCATATCTCCGTTCTGACCTGCTTAGGCTTTTGAATGAAGATAGGGTGGTCCACCTTATGTTATCTCCTTCTTGTGATAGCACTGTACCCAACCGGAACGTTGACGCGTCTGCACAGATGATAAACCTACTTCCTGTTCGAGCATTTTCAAGCTTTGTGTGGTTGCTTCAGAACTAGGGCTGCGCTTATCGTCTTCTTATTTCTTAGCAACGCCTCTTTGTGCTCTTTCTCCTTTTGCTTGAGAGCCACAGCTCTATGATGAACGGTACCCTTACTTTGCGGTACCTTCACAAATAATCAGGAAAGCAAAAAAAAACAGATAGCCGAACGAGTCGACAATCGAATCGATGAGCAACACGCAAACTCCTTCTTCCTTGGCGCCTTTTAGCAGCCTTTCTCAGCCGCTCACTCTTTTTATGACAACCAATAACCAATTATCCGGTCAACTGACCTTTACTACAGTCAAATCAGTTGTTTGGTTCGGCCCCAAGCAAGCCAGAACTCTGACACTGTTCTAGGAAATGGATAAGTTAGAACTGTGGCAGAGGCTCTTGTAGATACACGAAAAATAAATCTGTGTCCCAAGACTTTTGCACCAACCTAATATTGTAAGCCGAATAAGCAGTCTTAGACATGGCTGCAATAAACAGTCTAGTAGGTCGAACAAGGAGTTGTGACAATCAATTCATTTGGAAATGACAATAACAACAAAAAACAATGCAACATTATTTCTCCCAATAGTAAGAGAACCAGCGCGAACGATGAGCGGGAGTCGGGTAAGGCATTTGGGCTCAGAAAGTGCCGCAGTCGTCCTTTTCTGGTTGCAACTTGACCCCTTACAAGGCCCTGCGCTTGAGCAGCCCTCTCTCCGAATCCACCTTTTCCGACAGTATTAGGTTGACTTTCCCGACAACCTAATATTGTCGGAAAAAGGAATTTGAGTGCATATGTCAACCTTTTTTTCAAAATTGTTCTATTCTTTAGTACAGTCAACAGCTGACAAACATACACCATAATCGTCGAAACATGGCTCAGCGAGAGTCAGTGAGTAACCGTGCGATATCAAAAATATTACGTTTCATTTTGAGACTTTCGTCGCAGGATTCCGTAACGACGAGCGAACTGATTTTGCACAAAGTGTCGAATGAAGCAATGACACTCTTTTATATATTATCTTTTAGTCTATCTGCCTTGCTCCAGATGTTCTTCCCTTCTTAAAGTAGCACAGTGAACAGGAACAGCGCTATCCATCTGCCTGGTTACGGGGTTGGGGCTAACTGGAGCTTAACTTGCTGTTAGAATTTACACGATTTTGTTGTCAAGATGCATATTTTATTTATCACGATCAGCAATCATTACAAGCACGTCGACATCGCTGACGAACGCTGTTGCTCTGACAATATCCGAAGAAAGCGAGAACGTTGCAGCTGAAACACAAAGGATAAAGGGGCTATTAAAGTGGTTTGAAGAATTATAAGTTTCGAATTATAAGTTTTTCGAAAAAACGTCCCGTTGTTCCGTTTTTTCCCTCTTCTGGCTTTTTTAGGCACTCTATCTAGGAGAGCGCGAGTTTCCAAACTTTAAATGGGCCTGAGTTTCTTCAAAGTCGATTTTTGAGACATTGAGAAGCGGTAAAGACCGCTGAAGTCAGCAAGATTAGTACTAT